AAAAAAAAAAAAAAAATCTAGATTCTCTTGTTTGTTTCAGTTATATTTCCACCTCATGATATCCCGTCAATTTATAAGCGTTAATTGTAAATAAAACTTGAGGACTACCATTTTTTTCCCAAATAAAGGGGGAGAAATATTTACAATGTCACTAATTATTTGAACAGTGTAATTATATTTTTCTCTTTTTTAAAGGTTAAAAGTAGTACTTTCGATTTTAAACACCATTTAGAAAACATAAATAATTTAAACATAGATGATTATATTTTAAATAGTACATAAATAAACGTCTTGTTAATATATTGCTGTAGTTCATAAGTTAAAAACTAAAAATTTTTTTTAGCACAACTGAAAATAAGAAAATTTACAAAATACTGCTACTCTATCATTTATACATGTATAGCGTTTAATTTTAAGTTAATGTGAAATATAGTATTATTTTACTTTTGAAGTATTGGATCCATAATACTAACCTTCAACTAGCATAATAAAACATTTATAAAATATATTTTCCTTTAAAATTCTTGAAGCACTTCCCAGCACTTTTTCATTAGCCTGATACTTTCTAGAAAGCACTATTTATACTCATTTTGACAGTAATAATTTCCTCCCTTCCATTGTTATTTAAGTATCTCTTGTTTGTTAACTGCTTACTTCCAGGAATCTATTGTCTTAATTTTAGTACAGCTTTATCATACATCTTCTTTCCTGTCTGGAGAAGATACAAGCATTTCCATCATTCTTATAATTCCAAAATATGTTTATATAGAAAATAAAAACAAATTGTTTTGATTTACATAATAAATACAAGAGCCCTTTTTTTTTCTTTGCAGTTTTTGGCAGGGGTTGGGTTTGAACCCCCCACCTCCGGCATACGGGACCAGTGCCCTACTCCTTTGAGCCACAGGCATCGCCCCAAGAGTCCAATTTTTGAAATATGATCATCTGTTTGTCACCTTCCAGGCCCTTGGCATCTGGAGGTCATCCCTCTAACATCCTTTCTCTGTGGCACTTGTTTTATTATTGTTGTTCACTAAACATAATTTTCATTTTAAAGCATTTACTTCTTTACATCTCTCAATTCTGGCAGCAAAACACAACTGCACAAAAGAGAGGTCTAAAGCCATCACTACCTTCATGGACTTTGCGGAGAGTGCAGGTGTAATAATTGCTTGCTTACTCTAGAATTCTACATGATTCAGAAAGCAGACAGGGAACATCTTAGAATTTTAGGTATGGTTTCTTCCCAACTTTTATTGTCTGGCATGTTGTAAGTATAGGATGAAGTAAGTACCACCAGCTTTTCTATCATTTAATCTCCCTCTTGCATTGAGGCTAATCATATTTTTTTTATCCACATTGATCTTACCCAGAAATGTCATAGGAATCAAAGGAAATTTCTAAAATTATACCCATTAAACCAACTTATAAAACAAACAAAAACAAAATCAGGACCTTGGAAATTTATTAGGCTGAAGGGAAACGTTAAGCCGTGAAGTCTGATTCATGCAACACAACTGCTGTTCTTCTCTGGTGCAGGACCATCACTTTCGGACCTTTGTGTTGAGATGTTACATATTAACCAGATTTCCTGTTCTTTATTCCCACTTAGACAAGATGACATGAAGATAGAGAGGCTGTGATTGTTACCTCTTTATAACAGATTGTCAGAACAAAAATCTCTAAAATGTATTCAGTAGTAACTAGTCCAATCTTACATTTCTGTTAGCCTTTGTACCAGAAATGCTGTAATTCTGTTAAGCACCCTCATTTTGTCTTTATAAACAATCCTCATTTTCCCTCAAGCTGGGAGATCTGATCATCACTCTTCAGGAAGGCTTTGCTCCCCCAGTGGCTGCTCTCACCAATTACATAGAAATAAACACTCTATATTGGATTCTGAGCCTTTTGATTATTTTAGGTTGACACTTATCAAAACATAGAATTTTTTAAAAAGGCTAATCCTTATCATTTCCTAAGAATTTGATTGCTACTATTATTTTTAGTAATGAAGGGGCTATAGTGAATCACAAGTTTAAAAATAAAAATCTGATTGGCATAAATTTTTCTGAAAACCTTAAATAGATAGATGGCTTATAAAATACAGTAGAACCTCTGTAAGTTGACCACCCCCAAGGACTGTAACAAACTGGTCAACATGAGGAACTAGGCCACTGTAGGGATACCTACATGTGCTGAGTTTCTGGTCCATAAAAATTAGGCAATTTATGGAGGTGGTCAATGTAGGGAGCTGGTCAACTGTGGAGGTTCTACCATATTTGAAAAAAAGTATTTGAAACAAACTTTTAGACTAAATATGAAGATTAGGGAGCTTTCTCTATAAACCTGGTCACTCAAATAATCTATTACCTTTGCTTGTGGAACATACAGATAATTTCAGAATAAAGTAGGGCTGAGTCAGAAATAATTATCAATAGCTTTATATCACTTTATTTATTATTAATGTAATGTATGCTTTTACAGAAGTAGCTGTCTTTGAATTTCTTTCTAGTACCTTTTTTTAAAAGAGTATACTGCTAACAAATGATTGCGTATTATTTTTCTTAAACATACCAAGAACTCTGGCAAGGATGTCAGACTGAATGTCGAACACATTCTCTCTTTTATGGAAGGAAACCATGAGGAAAAGGAGAACGTAAAAAGGGGCAGCAGAAACAAAATTTTGAAATCTGGAGGGTAAAAAGATGAACTGGAACTGACTTCACCAACCTGTAGCTACACCCCCACTCCACAGAGTTCCAGAGATCAGCAGTTGTACACCCGTTCAAAGCCAGAGGAAAC